AGCATTCTTGAGAAGCTGGATAAAGCTGGTCTATATCTGGATATTGATAAGTGTGATTTTATGTGTAAGGAAGTCAAATACCTGGGCTTCATTATAAGAGCTGGCGAAAGTATCACAGTTGACCCAGCTAAAGTAAAAGCGATCATGGAATGGCAGCCTCCAACGTCGGTCACTGGAGTTAGATCGTTTCTGGGGTTTGCGAATTTTTATCGGTGCTTTGTTAATAATTTTTCTGAAATTGTCGCACCGTTAACCGCCCTTACAAAGAAAGGGAGCGTTTGGCGCTGGGGTAGTGAACAGGATTCGGCGTTCAGTCGACTCAAGAAGATTTTCTCATCAAAGCCGGTACTAGCGCAATGGGATCCAGATCGGGATACAATTGTGGAGGCCGACTGCTCTGGGTATGCCTTAGGCGGCTGCCTCAGTCAGGTAGATTCAGATGGGTGTTTACGACCGGTTGCATATTATTCACGACGCCTAACCAGTGCTGAAGCAAATTACCCTATTCATGACAAGGAGATGACATCGATCGTAGCATGTCTACAAGAATGGAAAGCGGAATTACAGTCAGTCGCAAAACCTTTCACTATCCTTACAGACCACAAAAATCTCAGCTACTTCTCCACAAAGCGCCTTCTCAACGAACGACAAGCTCGATACAATGACTTACTGCAGAGATTTAATTACAACCTAGTGTGGCGACCGGGCTCGACTTGCGAGCGACCCGATGCACTATCCCGACGTGATCAAGATAAGCCAGCTGATATTTGCGATGAACGCACAGCAGGACGAGTAATGCAACTCTTACCATCGGTGCGGATCCACCCGTCGGCTATTAGATTAGAAAGCACCGATGAAACCGTTGGCGACGATCCGGCCGCTTTAGCGAGGTTGTTTGAAGATGACAGCATGCAGGCATTATGGAAACAGGGGGTTGAATCCGACAAGGATTGGCGGCGAGCACGGGATGCAGTATCGGCCGGCGAGCGGGGCTTCCCTCCCGACTTGGCGTTCAAGCTATCGGCCAACATAGCCGAATGTACTGTAGCTGGAGATGGAGTTCTTCGAGGTCGCGAGAATAGAATCTGGGTGCCTGATTTTGAACCATTGCGAACAGCAATTATGCAACGCGTCCACGACAGCCACTTGACAGGTCATCCAGGAAAAGACACAATGGTCAGCATGATTTTGCGGAGATGGTTTTGGCCTAAACTCAGAGATGCTGTCCGAAAGTTCATACGAAATTGCGACATCTGCGGCCGAACTACAGTTTGGCGCGAAGCTAAAGCGGGGTTTTTACGGTCACTTCCTGTTCCTGAGCGAATAGGTCACGAATTAACAATTGATTTCATCACTGATTTACCGCGCTCTAATGGCTGCACTAATATCATGGTGATAACTGATCGACTTTCTAAGGATATCTTTATATTTGGAACAACATCTATGACGGCTCAAAATTGCGCTGAGGTTTTTATCGATCGTTACTATCGATACTTTGGATTTCCACGTTATCTGACTAGCGATCGAGGCAGTGATTGGACGAGTCATTTCTGGAAAACATTCTGTGAACTCACGGGGATTACGCAACGTCTTACAACATCCTACCATCCTCAATCAAACGCGAGTGAACGAGCAAATCAAGAAATCTACAAATATTTGCGAGTGTTTACATGCTACGCCCAAGATAACTGGATGCATCTTCTTCCCATGGCACAGCTTGCACTAAACAGTCGACCTAATTCAGCGATTGGTGGTATAAGTCCATTTTTCCTTCGTTACGGGTATGAGTTAGACCCCTTAATGGAACCAGTGCCAGAGGTAAACTCTTCGTCTCGACATCCGGGAAAATTATCAGCTACAGCGTATCTGCAAAGGTTAAGAGATGCTCAAGATTTTGCACAAGCGGCAATGGCGTCAATCCAGCAGAGAAATGAGGCTAATGCCAATCGCACGCGACGCCAGCCAGAAAGATTCAGAGTAGGAGACAAGGTATGGCTTAACCTACAAAATATCAAAACGCCTCAACTCTCAAAAAAGCTCGCTTGGCAGCATGCAAAGTATGAAGTAACTGCGGTTCCTGATGCGCTGACGGTAGAGCTGAATGTGCCTGGGAATATTCACAAAAGGTTTCACGTTGAATTGTTGAAGAGAGCAGGAGACGATCCCTTCCCCAGCCAGTGTCGTGATGACGCACAAAATCCTCCGCTGCTTGATGACCTAGAGGAGCCTGAATATGAGATCGAAAGTATAAAACGTGCCCGAACAGTGCGCCGTGGCCGTGGATCTTACCGACAGGCTCTTGTGAAGTGGGTTGGCTGGGTTGACCCAACGTGGGAGCCAATAGAATATATCAAAGATACTGCTGCATTACAAAATTTCGAGGAGATTTATGGCCCAATTGAAAGTAGCGACGGCTCTAATACATCCTCTGGAACGCATGTTGGCCCGGCAGAACGTCACATTAGAGAAAAAAGAAACCGTAGGAAATCTAAGGACAGTTTGGCTACAAAAAAAAAAAAAGGTTAAAGACGGGTCTTAACTTCTAAAGTAGAAGAAGGGGGGTTGTAACGGCTAAGAAGCCGGTATTTTCCTGTAGCCAGTAATGGCAAGTACTGGCGTATAACCACCAGGGGGTGGGCCGGCGCAATAGCCTTGCAGAACATACCAGAACCACTGTCGAAGGTACTAGATAAGATTCGACATGAACAAGACTGTAACTGAGACTTGGAGAAGCTACTAGAAACCATATTCTCAGAGTTGCAACTGGAATTATCTAGAAATGAACTGACCTTAGATGGAAGGGCTTGGAGTGTAGTAATCTGTATAAATACCTGGCTAAGTATCTGTAGCTTAGTTCTACATAGTTGAATTGTTAATATACCATCATCCATACAAATGCTCCCTGCTTTCTATAGTTGATCTGTGACACATAGACCCAAGGAGGAGCCTCTGGACTGTAAGATCGCCCGACTACTTAAGGAAGGATATACAGACAAGAAAGACAAGTGGCTGGCTGAAGTAGTTACAGATTTAACCAAACCTGAAGGTGTTCCACACTCAAAAGAGATTTCCCTATCAGAATGTGAATTTCGTGAAGATCGCCTTTACTTTTGTGATAGACTCTACGTCCCTGATAATGAATTGAGACTACTCCTCATACAAAAAACCCACGACAGCTGTGAGAAGGGTCACCCCGGAAAAAATGCATTGTACCAAGCTGTTTCAGACCATTACTGGTGGCCAAATCTATCCCAACAAACCAACCAATTTGTTAGAAACTGCCATAATTGTATACGGAATAAAGTCTCTCGACTGAGATACCAAGGAACTCTCAAACCCCTACCTCTTCCCGAACAGCGCTGGCGTGATATTTCAGTGGAATTTGTCGGTCCCTTGACCGAATTTAATAATTTTAATTACATCATGGTGGTTATCGACCGCTTAACCAAAGAACGTCATTATATACCCTGTCACACAAAAATGAAAGCAAAAGATTTAGCTAAAATCTTTGTCCGCGATGTCTGGCGACTACACGGACTATGCGACTCTATTGTTTCCGACCGCGGACCACTTTTCGTTGCAGAATTCTGGAAACCAGTTTGCCACCACCTACAAATAAATGTTTCACTCTCCACATTCTACCATCCCGAAACTGACGGCCAAACAGAGAATGCTAATGCATTCATGGAACAGTATCTTAGACAGTATATTGATTACTCCCAAGAAGATGTCTATGAGTGGTTACCAATGGCCGAATTTGCGGCTAATAATGCAGTCAACGCTTCAACCCAAATATCTCCATTCTTTGCTAATAAGGGTTTCCATCCACGCATGAGTTTTGGACCTCCACGGCCAATCTCAAGAACAGATTCGAAATATCTAAGGGAACAAATTGCTGGAGGTAACAATTCTGCATCCAGAATGGCCGGAGTATTGGACGTACTACGCTCAAACCTCGCGCGGGCCAGAGAAAGACAGGAAAAAGCTTCTAGTGCAAATCGCTCGCCAGCACCAGCCTACAGAGTGGGTGATGAAATATTTCTAGATACTCGAAATATTACGACCTCGCGACCAATCAAAAAATTAGATTGTAAATTTATTGGACCATTCCGAGTGACAAAAATAGTCAATTCTCACGCATACCAACTGGAACTTCTCTTCGAACATGAGAATTTACACAATGTATTCCATACGAGCTTACTTCGGCCGGCGCCAACAAATCCTCTCCCGGGACAAACTAATCCCCCACCACCACCACCTATCGCGCTTGACGTGTCTGGCAAGAAATTGTTTGCTATCGAGGCGATCGTTGACTCCAAGCGAAGAAAAAATAAGAAAAAATTTTATTACTTAATCTTATGGCGTGGACATGACCCTGATGACCAAACATGGGAGCCTCTTGAAAACGTTGTCAACGCTACATCCTCCATCCAGGAGTTCGAGAGACGGTTCCCTAACAAATTGAAACCAACAAAGCGCGAGATTGAAACATCAAAGAAGAAAGCAAGATATTCCACAAAGATGTTGTCGAGTAATGCGAAAGAATAGGGAGTAAGGCGGTACCATATGTCAAGGAAAGAAGCTTAGATAATATCACGTGAGATCGTCTATTTGGACAAGTGTACTGCTTTATATATGTTTTAGTTTTGTATCTATAAAGAATCTTTCTCTCTTCGTAGACAATCTAATCCACCAGATCTGACATCGTCGATCAACCTCCCATTCCCGTGACAGTCAGGCCCTTAGGGAATAGTGAAGTAAATCCATTTATCAAGAAAGTCAATCATTGATTATGCTCCATTATAAGCGACGTGATATTTTTCTGCAAGCCCAACGCCAGCTCTAGATTAGTTTCTTAGCCACTTAACTTGTTGAAATAAAGTAAAGAATCCAGAATGGCACCAAATTTAAAGCTAAATCATGACAATCTTGATTATATTTATCATAAACGTTAATCAAACTTTTTCTAATCTTATATACCGTGATAAATTAAGTGTTCATTACTTGGAATCGTCCCAGGCTTCTTTCCGTTTTTGATGACCAAGATTGGTGGGAAGCTTATAGACCAGAGTAACCGAAGCTACGAATATTCACTTGAAACATACGTAAGTTGAAGTGCCTTCCCTGAAATTTCCGGGGTTTGTATTTTGAGTTACACAGACATTTAAAGCTTCCTTTCATATGATTAGCAAGCATCGTGGACAAAATCTGCAAGGCGAATGGTGCCGCTTGCTGGCTGTAGAAGAGTTAGTGCAATGCTTGTTTGAGGTATAGGAAGAGTCTACAGGAATATATTTTTTCAACTTAACGCCTGCTTCCTTAAATATCTTTGCAGTATCCTCATCCATGCTATATTCCCGGCTGTAGATGACTTCGGAGATCCCAACCTGGGCGATTTTGATACTGCAAGTCAAGCAAGGACATGTGTCACAGTATAGAACCGTACCCTCTCGTATTCTGTCGCGACCAGCCTCTAGAAGAGCATTTTCTTCAGCATGTATACAAAGACAAGTACCTAAGCTAGAACCAGAGCCATGACCTTCATTACATCGTGGACAGCCGCCCTCACCACAATTTTTCAGCCCCCTGGGTGTTCCGTTGTAGCCAGTGCTGATTACTCTTTTTTCCCTTACTAGTACACAGCCAACCCTCCTTTTCATACAATTGCTTCGTTTTGCAGCTAGTGATGCCAGCTGCATGAAATATAAGTCCCAACTGGGTCTAAGTCTATCTTCGTTCGTCAAGTCCAGTTTTCCAAGTGTGCCATACAAGTGTGCAAGGCTTGGAGAAGTGTTAAGCAAGCGTACTGTAGCACGAGATATCAAAAGTTGACCGGAGTCAGAGGTTGAACTATATAAATGACGGTCTGATTTTAAGATAAACTCTTCCAAAGTAAGAGGACTTTTGATACTAGAACATTCCTGTCTTGCCTGCCACCATTTCCATCTGAGTGAGATAGGAGCATCGACACTTAGGAGGATAAAAAATGGACGTCCCAGAAGTTTATTCAGAATGTTCTGATTATGGATGTCAGTTGTTACCCATCGTCCGCGCCAGCGCTTGGTAACGAAGTCAAGTAACTCTTCTGTTGTCTCAAATATATGCTCTGCGAGCTTGTTGGGAGAATTCTGGGATTCAGTTGATACCTGGGTGCCATTTAGAGTGCCTGATATTATAATATTATCTGGATGAGTTTCCTGTAAAATTAAATTATTTTTTAGGGACAGCCTTGTGAAGCCATGATGTTCTATAAGATAGTCGCTAATTGTACGCTTGCCCGCGCATATTCCTAGTTACATTTCAGAGGATATTACGCCCCGGAGTCTTCGGACAGACTTACCTCCACAGACACCTATCAGCATTTTTAGACTGGCTGTTTGTTAGCTGGACTGTAAGTTCCCACTGTGGAAGGTCAGAATCGCTACCCGTGTTTCCGTCTCCTTTAGTCTCTAGCGTCGTTGATAGATCTCCCTTGCCCCGAAACAAGACTAGGACCATACTGCCCTGTCCATGTTCACGTGGGAGGGGACGAATTTCTATCCCTACCGACGATGTATACAACAATAGATTTCAAGAAATGTGGTTAGATTGTCATCTGATTGTTTAGCCTAATACAGAAACAAACCATTGAAGTAGCCCCAAGTGTACTTTACCGTCGCCGCCTTTTCTATTTCGCTTTCAACAATGGCGTCGCAAACTGCAGATCCCGAACTGGCTCTCAAATTTGCACCATTTGGATCAGAGATAGAACTACCCTTTTATAGAGCTCTCTCTCAATTAAAAATCGATGTTGACCGTTTGGATGATTCTCCTCGCCCAGTGCTGGGACTATATCAACATCGCATGACTATTTCCTCCGACGTTAGTTGCCGGATGCAGATTCTTGGAGATGCATTAACCAGCGAAGTGTGAGTTTATATAGTTATATACTTTAATTCACTGACATATAAAGCGTTCCTCCGGGGCATATTCGTGCTGAAGGAAAAATCAAAAATCTAAATACTTATGAAGACTTCAAAAATGTAGATAAAGCATCGATCATGAACACAGCGGCCAAGCAGGTAGGCTGAAAGATTAGCACAAACTAGCCCGTTGCTTATCTCCGCCAGATATGGGATGCAATAAATGATGGCTCTATCTACACAGTTCCTTCACTTCTTTCATCGTTCACAATCATATCATATGCAGATCTAAAGAATTACAAGTTCACCTATTGGTTTGCATTTCCAGCTTTACACTCTAGACCAGTCTGGAATAGAAATGCTACTGAAAAGCCTGTCCAACTTACCGGATTGGAAACGTCTGCATTGCATGAAAAATATAGCTTATGGAAAAGTTCGACTGACGTACGCGAGCATGGCTTCTTTTTGGCAAAGAAAGTGAGAGAGAGTAGTCGTGGGTCTGATATGCCAATGAACACAACAGAAACAATCAGCGATCAACTCGGTTATAGATGGGAAGTTGGTTCATTACGAAATTTTGAGAACGGATTCTTCCATAATGTCGAAGAAAAAGATCAATATATATCATTCGTTGATCCATCTACTTATCCGGATCACCCTGGATGGATGCTGCGAAATTTTTTGGTCTTAGTAAGACGGCGCTTCCGCCTAAACAAGGCCCAGATCCTATGTTACAGAGATACAAATTCGCGTCGGCGCGAAACGCGTAGCTTGGTGCTAAATTTAGAAACTGAATGCTCATCTTTTGAACCAGAGAAAATGCCAGTAGCTACAGGATGGGGGCGGAATAGCTCCGGGAAGGTGGCACCTATGGTTGTTAATCTCTCACAATATTTGGATCCAAAAATTCTTGCAGACTCGGCTGTTGAGTTGAATACAAAACTAATCAAATGGCGGGCAGCTCCTAGTCTAAATCTCGACATAATGAAGAACAGCAAATGTTTGCTCTTGGGTGCAGGAACTCTTGGAACTTATGTTAGCCGCCTGTTATTGGGATGGAATGTAAATAAAATTACTTTTATCGATAACGCTAATGTTTCCTTTTCGAACCCAGTTCGACAGCCGCTTTTCAGCTTTGAAGACTGTCTTGATGGTAAGACGAAAAAAGCTTTAGCTGGTGCTGCCGCTCTTAAAAAGATTTTTCCCGGTGTGGAGAGCGCTGGTTATGTTATAACGGTTCCTATGCTCGGACACCCTTTTGTTGACGAACTGGAGAGTCGCAGTCATTTTGAAATGATGGAGAAATTATTTGATGAACATGATGTAATTTTCCTTTTGATGGACACTCGAGAAAGTCGATGGCTTCCAACAGTAATGGGAAAGGCTAAAAATAAACTTGTACTCAACGCGGCTCTAGGATTTGACACATGGATGGTAATGCGTCACGGAATGTTGACAAAAGAAGACGGATCAAATTCTCTGGGCTGCTATTTTTGCAATGATGTAGTCGTTCCCACTGATGTAAGGTCCACTAAGAATGTTGCAGAGAAGCCCCACTAACAGTTTAAGTCTATCAAAGATCAGACCCTTGATCAACAGTGTACAGTTACCCGTCCAGGCATTGCTCCTATGGCCGCCGCTCAGATTGTGGAGCTTCTCGTTTCTATCCTTCAGCATCCTCTCGGTCCTTACGCACCTTGTCCTATTTTGTCGAATAGCCAAAATAGCTCAAATACTAGTTATGATCGAGATCCACCTGATCATCCCCTAGGAATTATCCCACACCAAATCCGAGGATTTTGCGCCACATTTCAAAACATGATTATCAGTGGAAAGTCATATGACTGCTGCTCTGCATGTTCACCGAAGATTATAAATGAATATAAAAAGCATGGGTGGGAGTTTGTAAAAAGAGCTCTTTCAGATGAAACTTATGTTTCACAAATAAGTGGTCTGGCCGAGGTGCAAAGGTCAGCAGAGCTAGCACTAGAAAACACCGAATGGAGTGAAACAGAAGATATATATGATCCTGGAAACGAAGGCGAACTTTTGTAGCCGGCCTTGACCGAAAGTTTGAAAATTTTAATGAAGTTACAGCGAGATAATGATCACAATATCTGCATCTGTTCGGCGTATCGGCGATTGAGAGTATATTTACTGAAGATTCAGTAGGAGGCAAATGAGGAAAACTTGAAATTCAGAGTGATTCTAAGGGTAAGGCGATATTATTGGCATTAAGGTTGTTTTTAAAAACTAAGATTAAAATTACCTTTGATTTCTGAAAAGCCGTATTAAAAAGTCTCATGTACTTCACTTTTCATAGACAGAAGTGTTACTATCGGCTATCGATTACACATCTATCTGTATTTCTTCTCGCTTTCACGCTTGACTCGTTCTTTGTACATGATCTCTGGGTGACGATGCACACTTGGCATCATGCCTATCCCAATACTCCGTCTAATTGCTTTCGCAATTCGTCGTTGATTGACAGGACGAAGCCCCGTTTCTTTACGCGATTTAATTCGGCCCATGGGGGTCATCCATTCAGACATTAAAGAAAAGTTCTAAAAGAAAGCGTTAGCTATACATGTTTATTTCAAGTCAGAAATCGAGTCTTTTGTGACCATGACACGGGTCTGAACGGGACAGATCTCACCCGGTAATGTTCAAGTGGGTTCATGTCCAGAGCATCAAAGATATCAGTGCTCGCGTCAACTCTTTGCCTGAACTTAACTTGCTCTGCCTGATGTAGGTCATGAGGAGCATAAACGTCTCCAGCCTTCCATCGACGAGCTATTTGCCCCGCCAGACGCATACTCTGCCGGATATTTTCCACATCGTCAGCAGAAGACGAACGTTCGGGCGTCAAATTCTTGTTCCGATGCATCATATTATAAGCTGCTCCAGTTGAAGAGAAATTTGAGTGAGCAGGCGCCGCGATTTCAGAGATAGGATTGGTGTTGATCTCAGATTCCATAGTGCTGCTTGCGTTACGCGATTCAAAATAGCTAGTTTTCTCGAAGCGGGCGAGTTTGTGAAGGTCAAGATTGGTTTTAGCTGGCTCATCGCCTGGGGCACCTTGCGAAGCCTCTATTAGATGGTCAGAGACAGCCGTCACAAAGTGATGTTGACCGACTTGTTTGAATTACTCGACTGGTGGGGGGAGCCAGAGACCGAGACCAGGATCTGTTCATGAGACTTCTAATGTTGAAAAGGCCACGGGGTGATAGGGAACTCATGATATTGTAGATATGCTGAACTGGTCCTGGCGGTCTTGACCTAATTGTATTACCTACACTTCCGCATAAATTCTAAATGAATTCGCATACGTAAGAGCGCGCTCCTCGCTCCGTGCCTGCGGCTTAGTCAGATATTATCACTCCACCTACCACCACGTGTATGGTTAAATAGGTGCCAATGAGCCAATTACAAGATAATTATTGTAATCTTGGGGGCGCGAATTTTCTCAGAAACGACAAATAGGGTTTAAATGAGTTTCAAGGAGAAGCTGGCCATGAGTAGTACTGTGAACAAGTTATTTATCGAACCCCCAACCCGCAGAGACTTCGCGACCGCGCTACAACACACATCAATCACTTATGCTCAAAATACAAACTCCAGACAGGACTAAGCCCATCTAGTGTTCGTACTCATAAAAATTGATGAGCATCTGTGCTGTGTTTTTATCCAAAGATCTTTCCTTCTAAAATAATATCGCGAACTCCAGATATAATGCAATGTTCAAACTATAGAATTCACTGTCAGTGAAAAGACATGGCGTCTAGGCCGTAATTGATACGAGCAACCGAAGTAAAATAGAATCTTATGGATAAAATTCGTCTACTCCCCAGACAAGGACCTCACAAATTGAGGAAGAAAAATTAATAAGGATGAGGGACGAGGGAGAGAAGAACCTAAAAACAGGCATAGTGGGATTGGCATTATTATAGATTTTCGAGTTTGGAGTGCTTCTGATTTCCAAGATCATGGTATCGCATAATGCTATCGGCTTCCAAAAAATAGGACACACCACGTTGGCTTCGATGGATAAAGGTGTGAGGAATGACTCCGTTTGTTACGAGAACGGTCGGCGCAAGCCAAGGTGCTACCTTGAAAATTGATTGTTTGGTGAACAATATTCGAAGATGTAGCCGAAGCGCAGGGCACCGGAACTAGAAATGGCAATTACTCATGTTTTGCCCCGATTCTTTTGAATTGGTCATCCGGGTAGCATTGGGTCTTTCGGGATCGAATGCTCGTTTCATATCAACTTAGATGCAGGGCTTGTGTCTTGCACATTAAAATAGCAATCAATCAATGACATTAAAGATTAGACCAACGCCGCATCGCCATCGATAAAATAGATACGACAATCACAAGCTTAACCAGAGAGCCCGACTAAAGCCTGGATATTGGTGCCTCGACCTTGAGAAAAGTTTCCTATACTCTGACTGCAATTCCAGGAGCACGAGGCGATGGGCAAGGTCCGAGGTATAGACAGTTCTCATAGTGTTTAAAATTTTGCCATTAGTAGAAGATTTAAGAAAAAGCTACAATATAGGATTAAGTAAAAAATAGAAGAAGCCTCTTTAAACTGCTATATGAAGCGTCGATTAAAGAAATCGATTTCTAAATATGGCGAGGAGATTTCAGGATGAGGTAATGCTTTGTGTGGAGGAAGAAATTTTTAAAAGCGGAATAGAGTGAAGAACTCGGGCTCGTGATGTCCCTAGAAGAAATCCAGCATGGGAACTTCAAAGCGAGATTTTATGGACGGGTTCACTTTTCAAATTCAACATATGGGCCGAGTCTGAGGTGGGACGAGGTTAATGTACTTCATAGCAGTAAGCCTAATGCAGCCCGGCCCCAATCCTACTCAGATTCCCAAACGAGTGCAGAGTCTACAAATTGTCTACTATAATAATTTACAATCTATGTTTTACAAAGAAACGTCCTGAATTTAGTTCAAAAATGCTGTTATGAAGCTCCTGCTTACACAGAAGATGTGACCCTCTTCCACGGGTACCCATCAAAGTGAAGATCAAAAACTTTGGGTATCGTAGTATGCCTTTATTCCCCCATAAAATAGTATTGCGAAAAAATAAAGCGGAGTCTCATTAGTTTCGTAATATATTTCCATCAACAAGTGGGACACGTGTTAAGCTGACCAGATTTTACCAGGGAGATCAACCCGGATGGAGTATTACTGCGCCCTCTAGATACAGCTGCGTCGGTTGTCGCCAACGCTACCTCAAACGAAGCCGTAACACTGATCTATATAGTGTGAAGAAATCTATTGAAGGAATATGGTTAGAAAACTGTACTGCTGGTAAATGCCTAAAGCTTATTTGGTATATTTTTGATACTATCTACTGAGTTCTACATTTACGATACATTCTATAGACCCTAATTACCCCCAATCAGAATGTAAAAGATTAAATGTATTTAAATAGCCTGTCCTACATAGTTGTAAACTCAAAAAGGACATAAATGGATAATAACATAGACCCTAATTTAGCCCAGCTTACAAATCAAGTCACAGGAGTGCAAGACTGAACACCTGTACGCGGTGTCCTCTACGAACCTGGAATGAAATATTCTCCCAGAGCCAAGTACAGTCAAATTTCAGAATACCGATCAAGTTGGCCCACGAGGAAATGATTCAAATTAATCCGCCACGTCAAATTTTCACTCCCAAAGAGTCCGATTTGTTGTAGTTAAGGGAGTGACATGACTGCATTACAATAAACTGTTCACATTAGAATAATGTGCACATGCGACATGGGATATGATTGACCTATATCATCACCCATTGATATGACATAGCATTTCCCAATAGATTCCTAATGGTATCTATTGGCGCTAGGATCTCTCACATCCTTCCTTTCTCGGGTAGACAAGGACAGATGTTGGAACATCCACTAGTGTGCAGAGCCCCCTTATTCATGTATATAGAAGAAGGTCCTGTCACGTAGATAAATTAAGCAATTCATACAATAGGAAATTCAAACAATCTCCAAATTATTCACACACTTGAGAATACTAGGGAATATCCTCAAGTTCGTCCATTGATCCAAGTCCTAAGAGTATAACTCACGAACTTTACTTCTCTTAAAGCCATAGCTACCTCCTTCCATACCTTCATCCTAACGGTACGTCATTCCAGCTCAGAATAGCCTTTCAATGCGATTCACCTAAGCCTCATCAAGTCTACAAGTACGACCTAGTACGTCTTCGTTCCAATGATCACACCTCTCGCCGATTTTCTCTGGCCTTAGCCGGTCACCAAATACACGCCCACGCCGATATCTATATCCGACGGAGGAAGCAAAGCGCGGCGCAAAAATCTGGGAGACAGTTCTTTGGGATTGGCGTGAGAGGATTCAAGACAGGTTCACAGGATGATGTGAAGGATGGATACAGTCTCGACGGGCGTGGAATTTTGAATTTTGGGAAGGAGTTTTTTACCAATTGGGCTTTGTGCGTACTAGGCCTTCGGTTGCGAGAGTGCAGGCGACACTATAAACATCGTCTTGACCGGTTTTCCAAGTAGAGTCTGGATAGCCTGGACACATATCACACTCGAGACAGTAGATCGCTGGTTCAAATCCGGCAAAACACAACCACATTTCTCGCGGCGCTGGTATACATCGATGACGATGCATGATCGGATAATCAAAGGTTTCGAAATTCCCTTTGACGGGTACTTAGGGAGGAGGGTCGACTGTTTGTGTAAGCTAACATACCTCATAGTGGTGTATGCAAATGAAATCCAAAGTATGAGTGTCTCTAACGTCAAAAGAGTCATCCAATATGTATACATAGTACCGGTCATATGTCATAGCTCTATAGTTGAATACACTTAAATGATTTTAAAAAAAATCAAGTCACATGTCTTCTAAGGCTCAGTGACTGATACTTTAACAAAATTTGTCGGCAATATCCTCTCGCAGTATTAAGTTATCTGTGATGAACTTAATAGCATTAAATGGGTAGCAGTAAAAATCCTCTGATTTTATTTTCAGTTAAGTTATGACAAATGGTAACGCATTTGGTCGATATGATCAATTGGGTTAGAATAAAGGCGGAACTATTTTTCAGGTAATTACAAATGATTCGTTGTTGCTACACAGAGAAAACTACTCAGCACTTCATATAATGAGGCCGGCAAAGACGGATTCTTCTCCTTCCAGTGGTGCCGGTGTAATCGCTCAGTATACTCTGCATATCTGGGACAGCCAAGAAGAATCGTATCCAAATCTGACTCGAAAGCACTCACAAGCACATCTAAAATCGACGACTCACCATCAATGTCGGATCTACCATCACCGAAAAATTTTCATCCCACATTGCATTACCCATTACCCTTATTTACAAGAATCTTCAATCGGTGCAATGGCCCCAGCTGTTGCATCGTCATCGAAAACGCCCTCCAATCCAGGAGGGCAACTTCACCCAAGCCTGCTTGGCATTGTGAATACAATGCACAAAGCAGAACAACAACGGAAAGAAAGACTGGATATAGCCCAGGAATTTCTAGAACTAATCGACTCCTGGGCTAAGAGCAAAGGAGAGAAACAAGCAGCAGCAGTTGTCGCGACTCTGCTGGAAAACATCACGCCTGTTATCACTGCCTTCGCAGTAGATCAGGTAGAAGCATCTAACTTTCCAAGTAAGAAGCCCCCCACCATGGCAAGCACTCCAAAACCAGTCGCGCCTAGGAAAAATACAGCTGTTGAGGATCACAGCCACGCTCTACCCCCAAAGCCTCAAGACACCAGCTCGCCCTGGGTGACAGTAGCCCGTAAAGCGGCCAAGTTACCAACACCACCAAATGTGCAAGTTCCACGAAGGCCTGCCCCATCAAGCCACCCGAAACCACAGACAACCCAAAAGGAGGACAAACGCCTGTTCCTTCGATTGGGGAGAGATCACCACTGGCACAAGCTCTCGCCAGTTACGATCAAGAAAATAATAACCGATAAGGCTGGGATAGCAGCCTCAGCTATCACCTCCATGTACCCAGTCAGGTCGGGGATCGCTCTCGAATGCGCATCAGATGCATTGAGAGATACAATCATGAGGATTGCACCTTCCCTACAGGAAGACAACACCGTGATTGAGGAAGCGTCCAAATGGACATCATTGATCGTACCTCATGTGCCATTGTACATCAGGACGCTTGAAGGCAGCATCCCAGTCACCAACGATATGGTGAAGAACGAATGCCAGGCTGTAT